CCGCAGTTCAATTCGATATTAAAAGACGCCTTAATAAAAACAAGAAAAATACTCCACCTATACGAATGCTAGGGACCCCTGTCCCATGGCACATGTCAGCAAAATATTTAGGCGTCACCCTTGACTATAGGCTTACTTTTGAGTCTCATGTCAAAAGAGTAACGCGTCTAGCACGTTTCTATTTAGGTCGGCTTAACAGTATGTTAGGCAGACATAGCAAAATGTCATTACGAAATAAGCGAACCCTCTATAAGGTTTGTATACGACCGGTTATGACTTACTCGGCTCCTATTTTTGCACACGCTAACGATAAAATTATTAACGAACTCCAAGTAGTTCAAAACCTCTTCTGTCGTCGAGCTACGAACGCACCTTGGTACGTCCGTAATGCCGACCTTCACCGGGATTTAGAAATCCCAACAATCCAGCAATGTCTTAAAAAATTCTCTGAAAACTTCTTTAAAGTATCAGAGTCGCATACTAACACACTTATTCGTGAGGCAGTTACTTATACCGCCCCACTCCCTTCTCGCTATAGCGTCCGCAGGCCGAGAAACACTCTCTCGGACCCGCCAAATAAGTTGTCAAACGACCTGAACTGCCTCCTGGCGGCTCAGGCCAATCCTAATTAAATTAAAAATTAGTTAAAATTTATAATATGCCTTCGTAGGCAGTCCCTAAACGGCACTTAGCCGTCTGCGCCCTCTTTTCCCAAAAGAGGGTCGCTTTAGATACGGCATATGCAGCTTTAATAGAGCTAGTTGCCAGTCCCCAAAGGCGGTTTTTAGTGGGTATCACTTAGGTCCCCCGGTAGGCAGTGAGTCCCACATAACCAGGACAGACCGGCTGTCGTGGTATGCATAATGCATTTTCCGCCTCCCTCAGTGGTAGCCCTTTTCCAATTGCTTCGGGCGCAAAAAAAAAAAAAAAAAAAAAAAAAAAAAAAACGACGATTTCAGTATCCAGAGCTCCGCCGTGATGGCCCTTCAAGAGGCTAGCGAAGCTTACCTAGTCGGGTTGTTCGAAGATACCAACTTATGCGCGATTCATGCAAAACGCGTAACCATTATGCCGAAAGACATACAGTTGGCGCGCAGAATTCGCGGTGAACGAGCTTAATAAACTCTACTCTACCGATTGTGTTGTGAACTACGTTTAATTTTTAACATCAATCATCGATTGGCAGTGTGAAAGTGGCAATATTAAATATGCCTCATTAACAACAACTACACGTTGACAAGATGATGATGATTGTGTTGGTTTTAACGTATGTTCTCTTTCACTTTCATAAAAGGCCCTTTTCAGGGCCGCATATGTTTCTACACAATAAACTGTGCGTTTCTTTAGAATATAAGAGAACGTTAAACGAGCAAGTAATAGATAGATAGATAGATAGATAGATAGATAGATGGTATGGTATGGTATGGTAATATTATGAGATAACAAAAACATAATATCGAATTAAGGCTCAGCAAATCGAAATGTTTATTTAGATACCGTTTAAATAAATTAATAGATAGATGTACTAATCTAGTATAATAAATAGACGACAAACTGTATACTATTTAACATCATAAGATACACAGTAGGGTAAAGCTTACCTGTCTCACGACGGATGATCATTCATCACCATCATCGACGATCGGCGCCGACGATGCCTGCGCCGCCGCTGCCCGCGAAGACTACCACCACCAATGTTCACGCGCAGAACGCTTCTGTTAGTTAGGATGCAGTTTTTTTTTTTTTAAATAAATAAAAATCTTCGTCTTCATAATAATATAAATTATAATATCTTACTTTGGATAATCATATTAAATGAAGTGATACAAAATAGAAAACGACATGTTTCGACAATAATATTATCTGTACTTTATATACACCTCGTTCAACCCGCGACATTATTTCATGGCGGGCTTTGAGTATTAAAATTAATGGGGGATTGACTAATTTCTCTTTTTTTTTTTTTTTTTAATAGTATGCGGATTGACCTCAGGACTCATTGGATGGAGTCTAGCCATTGTCGCAGGACAAAATCGTATTACCTTATACGTAGTAACTAATTAGATACCTTTCTATATTCTAATATATAAATTTTATTTTTGTTTGTTCGTATATAATGCGCTACCATACCGTTCATCAGATTGCGCTAAAATTTAGTCAACTTATTGCTAACTAATAATCTTACAATAGATGGCGCGCGTATCGAACTGACAAATTTATTTATTTATTATTATATAGAGACTACCTCTTCCAAATTTTAAACGATATTTCGACAATTTTTTTTTTTTTCCGTGTACCATCTACAGCAACACGAAACATCCACCCCCCTCCCCTCCCCCCGCCTTCGCCTTATTATTTGCCCGGCCATTTTATACTTCCCCGCACCCTCGCCTCAGCCGTCTCAGTCGTCTGGGTGACTTTATATAAACGGGAAAAAGTTGGTGCGGTCTATCTGTCGTCGTGCGTTCGTAACGTACGTTAAGTCTCTATATATATTATTTCGTGTGTTGTCTTTCTTCTCTAAGCGAAAATGACCGGTCGCGGTAAAGGTGGTAAAGGTTTGGGGAAAGGTGGAGCGAAGCGGCACAGAAAAGTTCTTCGTGATAACATCCAGGGTATCACCAAACCGGCTATCAGACGTCTCGCACGCAGGGGCGGTGTGAAACGTATCTCCGGGTTAATCTACGAAGAGACACGCGGTGTACTCAAGGTGTTCCTTGAGAACGTGATTCGTGACGCTGTTACATACACCGAGCATGCGAAGAGGAAAACCGTCACCGCAATGGATGTCGTGTACGCCCTGAAACGTCAAGGACGTACCCTCTACGGATTCGGTGGTTAATTTCTTATACGCTACGCGATGAAGACGTCGTCCACCGCCACGTACTACGGCTCTCTGTCCGCTCTAAGTTCGTCTATAGTACACCATGTGCGCAGTGTGTATTTGCTACTTGGTATGCGGGACTCTGAGAGTTAAGTTACGTGATGAGACGATTTTCCTAATCGTATAAGTTTAAAAAAAAAAAGGCCCTTTTCAGGGCCGCAAAACTATCGATATAACTTGTATTTGTTTCGTAGAGTATCGTCATTTAAAAAAAAAAAAAAAAGAAATGATATGTGCAAGCATGTATTTTGTTGTACGGATATGTGTATAAATGGCATGATTATGTAGTATATAATTGCGAATGTATGTGTGTTTATGATCATGTATGTAAGTGCATATTAGAATTAGATGTGTCTGTCTATAAAGTTATGTTAAGTATTTAAAGCTGTAAAGGCATCACATAAGATTTATGTATACCAATTAAACGCGGAACAAAATTAGGTTTATTTTTTTTAATTCGAAATAATTTCGAAAAACTGATCTGAATGAAAGAAACGTCAATTCATGTAGGCATTAAATGACTATACTCTTCTTAAATTTGACGATACCTATTAAACAACAAGTGTAAGATATCGCCATATTGAAATAATGGTTCGAACGTCTTAGGAATATATTATCATAATTCCGAATTGTATTTTTTTTTCTCTCTTATTTATCTCCCTTATTATTTAATATATACATTATAATATGATATACTATATTTTAATAATATCACACTTCATTTTTTTTTTTTTTAAATACTTAACGCTTTATAAACATACGTTGCTCTGAAGCGTGCCCAGCTTTTGTACGTATTTTAAAGAAGTATGGGAACGTGTTGCAACATTCTAGAAATAATAATGATTTATAATAATTATTTCAGATTACAGTGGACAAATTTTAAAATATTATAGACTATTTTCAAAGATCGTACGCTTTGTATAGGGACTTCGGTCTGTGAGCCTCGAGACCTCTTCGTGTTTTACGACCTTCGACGTATAATAGGTCGTTGCATTACGAATAATGCATTACCGGCGTGACCTCTGCCTTCTGTCTAACCTCAGGATATTAACTTTCAATAGACCGATTTAAATTTAACTAAACTAATGAGCAAATAGAGAAAAATCATTTTAAAAGGCGGCTCATGGTACGCTCAGAATATAGTGAACAAAATAAACATCCATTGCTCGTTTCTCGATCGCTTATATACGTAACGGGTTTGTCTGTTACGTGCACAATCTCAAATATATACCGTATTAACTTTCTGAATACGATAATATTTATATATCACGGTAAAAATTAAATTTTATTCGAGACGTTCTAGTGAAAAGTTAGAAGTGTTCGTACGAGAAAACGTCTCGCAGCACCGCGGTTCTCCTTACGGTTAAGCTTTGGTTGGGGGGGTAAGGTGGCGATAGTGTCGCCACCCAAGGATCTCCTAAGTGTGTGTTGTTTGTGGATTATACAGTGGTCCCAATCAACCGCCGGTACGACATACTCCGCTAAGCGTCGAGTCCGCATACTCCGCGAGGCGTCGAGGTCACCGGCCCTTAGGCAGATTCTTGGCACTCAAGAGCGTTCCGTGCCTTGCAGTGTCGAGTCGCGTAATTGAGTGCCCTCTAGCACTTCCCCCAACCCTTTCGTTGTGAAAGGGGTAGGCAGTGCGCCAAAGTGTTGCGGTCGTCATCATCTTCGCTCCCATCTTTACCTTTAGCCACCCAGTTCGTCGCGGGCCGTGCTACAGTGCGGACGTGTCTAGTGCGCTCCTGTGTTGTGTACGTGTTGTGCTAGTGATTGACTCCGCCGACGTCGAGTTCGCTCCGTTTGGCGTCGAGGCGTCGCTGGCGCATTTCCTGCGTCGGACTGTTAATAAGGTAAGCGTAAAGGTCACTACTTACGCTGTGCCCTACTTTACGTTTTACCTTTTTGTACACTGTACCCTCTTTTTATAACAAAAAGTGATTACAAGTGTTCCGCATTTGAGTGAGATTACGCCCATCCCATCTGCGCCTCACACACCCCTCCCTGCTCGCGGGCGCCTCGCTGGGCCTCCCTCACGGGTCTCACCCGGTGTGGTTGCACGCGCTGAGGGGAGTAAGGTGTGTGATAGCTAAGGGCTGAGCATAATTAATTAGTAATGTCGGACAAGGGGGAACCTCCCCCAACACGCCGTAAACCACCTGATAGGCGTCCGGGAGTACTCGACAGGCCCCTCATGGAGCGAGACCTCTTCGCTCCTGAGAGATCTAGAGTGCTCCCACCTTACAGCCAACTCCCGAGGCGAATAGGCAGTATACCGGCGCCCGGCGCCGCGCTCGGCGCAGGTGAAGCTGTGTCTTCACCGAGCGCAGAACTGGCTCCATTACCACGCCGGAGCCTAGCCTCGCGGAGACGTACACCTCCTGAGATAGAACAAGACCAGCTGCAAGAGGAGAAAAGGCTGAGAGCCGGATCAGACTCACTATCTGATTCGGCATCGCCTTCTGCCTCTGCCACACCACCTGAGATACAAGCCCCACAACCTGTGGTAAGACATAACAGACCGCCTAACTCACCGTCTCCAACCACCTCTCCGGCCTGCACCGCTGACATGCAGGATTTCGGTGAGGAAGACCCGGAAGGAGAGAGAGAGTGGGACAATACGTCCTACGCCACTCTAGCCCCAATTCAAGACTCCCAACCTGTAAACCAGGAGCCCATACCTGGTCCATCTTCAGCGCCAGACTCTTATGCGCAAATTGCAGCAGCGCCGAGGTCAGCGCCACCATCACCGCCACCACCACCTGCACAGAAAGAACAACAGCCAGTAAATAACCAGGCCAAATACCCTCCTATTATAGTGGAGTGCTTCCCCAACTGGGCGAAGCACTTCAAAATCATACATCAACTTTTGGGTCACGCCCCCAATGCTCGCCCGTTTGGGAAGGGAGTCCGTTTTCGGCCCCAGTCCGACGACGAGTATCGGAAGGTCCAGCGCTACCTCATCGATAAAAGCAAGGAGGATGCCACCTTCGTGTGGTATTGCTACGCCCCACAGGAGGAGCAACCCACGAAGGTGGGGTTAAGAGGGCTCCCTGCAGATACCGACCCTAAAGACATACAGGAGGCCCTCATAGAGAAGGGCTTTCCAGTTACATTTGTACGGTCAATTCCACCAAAAAGAGGCAGGCCTGGCTGCCTGTTTCACGTGAAAATGAGTCACCTAAGCCCCGAAGAGCTCAACAGATTATACCAAATTGATGAGCTCCTTTACATGCCGGGAGTAACAATCGAAGGCTGGACAGGCAGAATTGGCCCTGCGCAGTGTCACAGGTGTCAAGGGTTCGGACACGCATCCTACAACTGCTACCGACCCTTCAAATGTGTACGCTGTGCAGGTGACCACCTGGCCTCAGCATGCCCACAACCGCGGGATGCGCAACCTAAATGCGCAAACTGCGGGAAAGATCACTCGGCGAATGACAGGCGGTGCCCAGTGTTGCAGCGAATTGCAAGGAAGAGGGGGATTAATATGCAACCCCCTATCCCCGCGCAAACAACACGAGCACCGCAACGTCAACCACCCCCACTACAAAGCCAACCACCTGCACCGCATTGGCAACCTCCACCACCTTAAAAACCTCAGTACTACCCACCCCAACAGCAGCAATATTCACAGCAGCAACACCTGCAAAGGCAGGAACCGCAACCGCAACAGCGGCAGGTAATAATCACACCTGCACCAACCACATTTGTTACGACCGGGGCGACTTTAGCACCACCGGCGAATAACGCCACGGAGCGCACAGAGCGCCCAAAGAAAAAGAGAGGAAAGAAGAAGAAGAAGAAGAAGGCAACCACCCAACCAGCTCAAGTAGGTGGTACTTCGACTCCTCTTCCTCCACTCGCCACTACCACACAACAACAGCAATCACTGCCACAACCGCGGTATACATTCCCTCCATCAAATCAGAACGAGCAATCTGCACTCCAACCCCGAGATCAACGCCCACCCAAAAAGACAATAACTGTCGCTCCCCCATTACAGCCCCAGGCACCAACCACCATCGAGGAGGCCCTCGCTCAACTGGTGGGCGTGGTAATCAGGATCTTAGGAGAGGTCCTGACTGCCATGACCACCGGCACCAACCCCCTTTCGGCCATCCTAACGGCCTTAGCCCAGTTAACCTCCGTCAGCAGGCCATCCACTTAGGATGTGTTATTGGAACCCCGGCGGCATCTTAGGGAAGGTCGCCGACCTGAGAACCCTGGTCCAGCAGCACAATATCCAAATTGTGCTACTGGGGGAGACCAAACTGCGCCCCTCTGCTCAATTAAAACTCCCCAACTTCTTTGTGTACCGACATGACGAGATCTCCTCAGAAGGTATCGCGTACAGAGGTACTGCGGTCCTTGTGAGGAGGGACGTCATGCACGAAGAAGTTGGCACCAATACACAGTTTATATCCACCAGAACCAAAGGTGTAAGGCTGAGGGTAGGCACCAGAGAAATTAGAATCTTTGCTGCCTACAGACCTCCCGGCACCTCACTTGCCCCCCAAGACATACGTACCATATTTGACTCCACGACACCTGCAATTATCGCCGGAGACCTCAACGCGAAACATCCCGCTTGGGGCTCCGCGCTGATCACACCACCCGGCAGGAAACTGTTCGACGACGCCGAGGAGTGGGGGTACGAGGTGCTGGGCCCTGATGAGCCCACCCATATCCCGACAAAGCCAGAACATAAGCCCGATGTTCTTGACATTGTGCTGTGTCATCTAGTGCCGTATACAACACGGTTAGAAGTATTGTATGACATAGATACACAACACCTCCCCGTGCTGATTACTATCGACACCAGTACGGATGCCATGGTGCCCAGAAGTCTCCGAATGAAGACAAATTGGACCCGCTTTCGTAGTGCGCTGGAGGACTTCCAACCTTGCGCCCCAATTACCACCAGTGAAGATGTGGAGACTGCGGCCCTACATCTTCACAACACTATAAAAGATAAACTCCAACTCCACTCTCACCCTGTCTCCACGGGGCGCGGGAAGGAGGGACTCCCACGCAACCTCCAAACGCTCCTGTCCGAGAAGCGGAAGATGAGGAGACTCTGGGCACGGACACGATGCCCACGGATAAAAACTAAACTAAACGCTATGATGGAAGAGCTGTCGGAAGCAATGAGAGCTTACAGGGGAGAAGCATGGGAGAGGCGAGTCGACGAAGCCTCGGAGACACCCGCCTCCCTGCATCTCCTCAACCGGCAGCTCACCAAGACACCACCACCTGTCTGCCCACTGGTGGACAGCACGGGGAGTAGGATTTACGACGCCCAACCTAGAGCGGACTTGATGGCACAGCACCTAGAACAACAGTTCATACCCAACAGCATAGCAGAGGGGTACGCAGACCACGTACAAGGCATAGAGGACCGCGTACGGGAATACCTCTCTAACCCGGCGCCGCCATTGCGAGGCGGCGATTTCATATCTCCAGCAGAGGTAAGGCGCACTATTATGCGCCTACCTAGCCGTAAAGCGCCGGGTTACGACGGCATCACCACCACAGCCATAAAGCAGCTGCCCAGAAGGGTAATAGTGGCACTCACCAGTCTGTACAATGGCATCTTACGGACTGGCCACTTCCCGACCATCTGGAAGCAGGGCAGAATCATCGTGCTGCCGAAGCCGGGAAAAGACAGGAGGTTCCCGGCCAGCTACCGCCCCATAACGCTATTGCCGCACATAGCAAAACTTTTTGAAAAAATCACCCTGCACAGGGTTCTCCCACATGTTACCCTGCGTGAGGAGCAATTTGGCTTCCGCAGGGGACATTCCACAACCTCTCAGCTGGCCCGCGTGCTGCACTATCTTGCGGCCGAATATAACTTCGGCCGCATCTGTGTGGGGGTCCTTCTCGACATGGAGAAGGCCTTCGACAGGGTGTGGCACGCAGGGCTAGTTTATAAACTCATTCAGCACACCACTTTACCGCCCATGCTTGTGCGGTTAATAGCGTCATTCCTGGAGGGGCGGAGCTTCCATGTCTCCTTGGAAGGGGCTGTTTCGGCGGCACGACCGATTTCTGCGGGAGTGCCACAGGGCAGCTGCCTATCACCGCACCTGTACGCGGTCTACACCAACGACATCCCCACCCTCCAAGGCCATCTGGAGGAATGGGAGGATGACGTTGTCCTAGCCTTGTACGCCGACGACAGTGCGTACTTCGCGTCATCACGTCGGGTGGACATAGCTGCTAAGAAATTGCAGCGGGTACTCGACCTCTTGCCTGAGTGGCTGGACAAATGGAGGCTGGCGGTCAATGTCGGGAAGACCGTCGCCTTCATGACCAGGCTGGCCAGAACACCACCAACTCTGCAACTCCGCGGGCAGGATGTGGGTTGGAGTAGTACCATTACGTACCTAGGATGCCAGATAGATCGCTCGCTGCGCATGACCCCGATGGTCAATCACGTTGTGAGACAGGCCAGAGCGGCGCGAGCGAAACTATACCCTATACTGGCATCCAAACTCCCAACAAGAACGAAAATAGGTATCTACAAAATCTACATCCGCTCGCGGCTGACCTACGCAGCACCAGCCTGGTACGCGTTGACCTCGGCCACTCAGCGCAAGAGGTTGCAGGCCCAGCAAAATCTTGCGCTCCGGGTGATCGTGGGAGCCGGTCGCTACGTCAGGAATGACATCATTTCTCGCGACCTCAAGGTCGAAACCATCCACGATTTTGTGGTCCGTTCTGCGAGACGGTTGTTCGACCGCGCAGACAACGGGCCACACCTTCACCTTCAAAATCTTGCTCCCCTCCACGCCCGCCCACCTGACGGGCGACCACTCCCACGTGAACTTCTACGCTCACTGCCCGGCACAGGGGACGCCGGGGGTGAGTGAGCGTCCCGACACTCGACGTGATGGCGCGATGTGCGCAATACACCTACATATAAGCTGCCAACGCAGCACCCAAGACCGGGGGGTCGTGTCCTCCTGAGATGCCGCCCATGTAAAGAGGGTCTCCTCGACACATGAAAACCTCCATAAGGAGATGAACCACCACTGTCGCCACCACTATTCATGAAAGGCGTAACCATAGAAGCCTGGCAGAGAAGAGTAGGCCCAGCACAGTGCCACCGCTGCCAGGCCTTCGGACACGCATCAGCGAACTGCTTCAGGCCAGTGAAGTGTGTCCGCTGCGGAGATAACCACATTGCAAGCGAATGCCCAAGGGGTAGAGAGGTAGAGCCAAGATGTGCCAACTGTGGTAATAACCACACAGCGAATGATCGCCGCTGCCCGGTCCTGAGGAGGATCGCAAGGAAGCAAGGGATCACCCTACCGGGGCTACAACCGGAAGCCCCTAGGGGGGTCCCGCAGAGTCGCCCCCGAACAGTGGAAATCCAAGAAGACGGGTGGGCAACAGTTAGAGGAAGGGGAAGGCAACCACCCCCCCCACCCCCCGCACAGCAACCACAAGTAGAGACGTACGAGGCTCCAAAAGCAACCACCGGGACGACTCTACAGCCACCCGCTAACGATGCCACAGAGAGGCAACAGCCAAAGAAGAAGAAGCGGGTGCGCAGTAAGAAGAAGAAAGAGCAACCTCCTCAGGTAGCGGCAGCCACCTCTACCCCTACCCCAGCGGTAACGATGGCCCAGGCGCAGGTCACAGAAAGGATAACCACCGAGAGTAGAGCCCCAGGAAGGGCTCTATTAGAAAATAGAGCCCGCTCTACACAAAGAGCACGCTCT